TAGTTTCTCTCTCTCTCTCTCTCTCTCTCTCACTTTGGGTATTTATTAAACTTCCAGCCAAGGATTTCTGTGTTATGCAGAATGTTTCGAGAAGAAGCTACAAATTTCTGCAGCTCAAGATTTTTAAGTCTTAGCAACTCATAATTATTTCTTTGAAACATTCTGTACATATAAACTCTTTGGTTTTGCCAAGGTATTACTCTGTACTTGGTGAAACAAAGTAAATAATTGCATTTTAAAAACAAGAAAAATCCATTAGTCTAAGTATTTCCTATCTCAAAAGACAAAATGTTAATCATAGAAAACATATCTTAACATTTCAGTTGACCGGTCAATGATTGACTCAGATTTGAAGTGCCGCTTTAATATTGAATTCTATGTGAGATGATTTTTGATAATGGTTAATGTGTAATAAAAACTTGAGGGATTTAGCAATTAAGCAGACAAAAGTCTGTCAAGAAGAAGCCATATTTCCAGATGTAATGTAGCGATCAGTGTTGCTAAAAGAAATGCCGTAATCGTATATTCCGAATCCGATAACAATTATATAGTGGATTATCCCAATAATACGTAATAATACGCAATAACAACTAACAGTTATTCGTGGCAACTCTGATGTAATACGCACATGTCGTGTGTGATAAAGCCCCATAATGTGGTGTATCACAGAACAATCGTAGTTGTTATATATCATACAACATACATAATATTCATATATATATATATATATATATATATTTATGTGTGTGTGTGTGTGTGTGTGTGTGTGTGTGTGTGTGTAATCATATACACATACACACACGTATATACACGTGTCAAAATTATAAGAAGAGAAAAAAGAACCACCGTGCTCTCGCTTCTCAAGGTATGAAGAGGTGAACAACGGAGCTCAATGGGGATGAACAAGAGGAGTGCTATATTTGAAATCAATGGATCATACTGGCGATGGCATTCTGACGCGCTCGCTTTGCCTCTTCTTCACTGATCCTCTGCTCGATCAAGTATTGAGCAGTGTTGATCGCATTGGGATAACCCGTGATAGTCACTATGCGGTTCCTGGTACCAGGGGCGAACATGCCCTTCTTAGAGATTTGTATGTTGGCGCCACTTAGGTGCTGAATCTCAATGAGGGCACGACCACCGGGTCCCAGAATAGCTCCCACTATAACCTCTGCAATTTCTATGTCTACTTTCTTGGTCTCCTTGTTGTTGGCGTCTACCTGTGTAGGACTCTTACTTACAAGTGATAACTGGTTAGTGCCCAAGCCGAACGAATTGTTGTTCAGATGTATCGCGTTGGCAGCGGTGTTGTTCTGCCGAAACGGATCAAACGGCTCGTACCGATCGAGGGTGTTGCGCGGCGTTGGCGAAGTTGATCCGAGCGCAGGTACAGTCCCGATCGGCCCGAACACACCGCCGTTGTTATTCGAGCCATTCGCGGTTGTCGTACTGTCCATTGGATTACCCAAGTAGCTCATACTCGACGGCATTCCAATTCCCATTCCTAGGATATTATATTTGGCGAGAGTCGCGATCGCGGCAAGTATCTCCGTGGCGGCAGGCTCAGAAAAACCTGTCGTACGTAGATTCAGTTTTATATGTTCCAATAGCTGCGTCGTCACCGGCGCCGTACCGGCAGTGATAGCCGCGCCCAGATTCAGATTAAGACTCAAACCAGCGCCATTCAAAAGGCTCACTATAAAGAAAATAAAAAAAAAATAGACAACATAATATTATTAATATTTATAACAAACACAATATTTATTAACAAACGGATAATGAGACAACGGGAATCTTCTTAATTTGTAAATACGCGTGACACATATATATATATATATATATATATATATATATACAAATCTGAATACGAAAAAAATGAAGTTGGAAAAACAAGCGATTTCTTTCTCATATATCTATAATTATACATTCACTCCTATCAAGCTAGCACGACCAAATTAGCAAAATTAAACTAGATCTATTCAGTTAATTAGTATCCATTTTGTACTAATTTGTACCATCGATAAAAATTTTGTACCCCGTGTCAGAAAAAAGTAAAAAAAAAGAGAGAAGAAGAAAAAAAAGAAGAAGAAAGAAAATGCAAAATACTAAATTTATACCGCCCCAAAAAATTAAAATATTGATCCATTTTTATTGAAACAACCTCCAATTTAACTCAAGCATCAAGAGAGAGATAAAGTATTCTTCACCACAAACAGAAACAATCTCTACTATCAAACTCGAAGTCTTACAATATGTACTACTAAAATATAAAGTTTTAAATTTTATACCTTCCGCCGTTCCTTCAGAAACTATTCAAAATTTCTATTAGCTCAAAAGTAAAGTATTCTTCTTTTTCAACAGAATCAAATGATATTGCTTTCATTTGATGTGCAGTAATTTCTATTATGAAAATCGTGATTTTGTACCTTTATCCTTCCTCTCGAAATTACCCTTAACGCTTGATAATGTCAAGAATAAAATATTCTTTTTTTTTTCAGTAAAATCAAATAATAATATTTCAGTGGTACAGATTACTGTACATGAGATAAGAGCAGTATTCTTCAATTCTACTGAAAAAAAATCACTTTACTCTTGAGCTAATAAAGGTTAGGAATAGTTTCCGCCCGAACATGGCGAGGATACAAAATTGAATCTTTATATTTTAATAGTACATATTATAGCACTTCGAGTGTGGTAGTAGAGATTGTTTCTGCTTGCGGTGAGAGATACTTTACTCTTGATGCTAATAGACATAAATTAAATTAGAGTTGTTTCAACGAGAATGAATCAATATTTTAACGTTTTTTTTGAGTGGTACAAATTCAGTATTTTGTATTTCTATTTTTGTTTCCTTTTTTTTTATGTTAAACTAGCAGTGCTATGTTTTTTTTCCCCCCAATACGGCACAGGGTACAAAATTTTTATTAGTGATACAAATTAGTAACAAATGGGTAATAAATAACTGAGTAGGTTCGGTTTGATTTTGCTGATTTAGTCCTAACTTGATAGAAATTATACATTCAATATACACATTCTTGTACAGATTCTTGTAGATTCACTTTTAAAACTTGTATCACTTTTAACGTGTAAAATAATTCGATTCATTTATTTACTTAATTAGGAAAATACTTAATTAGGAAAATTGTATGTTTTAGTTTTTTTTGCAATTATTTAATGTTTGTAATAAACTTTTAAGATTAGAGAATGTAATTTAACATTATACTTAGTTTCATTTTATTCGATTTAAATTTGTAACAATAAAAGCAAGAAAAGAAAAAAAATCAAAGATGATTTATTTTTCTTTTCTTGTTTTAGCAATATTAGAATATTAAAAAGAAAAGAAATATTAAATATACATATACGTATTAGTGTTTTTAAAGAGATAAAAAAAAATTAAGAAAAAGTGCGTACTTTTAAGCTAAAATAGATTTGTAAATATTATTAGACGATTTTACAATCGATACTAACAACACTTGAATGTATTTGTTGTATAAAAAATACCTTATCCTCTCTCTTATTATTAAAAACTCATTAACTAACCTGTATTCAAACCAGCCGTAGATGTATACGTTGGAGTGCTTGTGGGAGCTTGAGCATATGGACTGCCTGTAGGATTATAGTTGGCAACGGGACCACTTACATCTGCATAACTGACATTAAGACACGTTCCGCTTTGCGGATCATCAGCCACTTTTGCTAATATCATGTGTAACGCCCTATGATTATTTTCTTTTTCACCAATAACCGTTATACATCGCTCTTGAAGGGAAAGGTCCTTAGCCTTCTGACTAATTTGGACATACGAGCCAGATTCCTCTTTAATTTGTTTAATATAATTCCCAGCTTTTCCTATTATCATCCCCGCAGTGCTATTGGGCACTAAAATTTTGACCTGAAATAACAATATTGATGCATATCATTCATGTGCATAAAAAATGTATATAATTTCATATTTCTTTAATTATTATTAATATTATTTTCTTTCCAAGAAATAAATTATTGACATTATGATAGTAAATTCACATTACTTTGAGAAGAAATCCTATAAACATATCAATGCTCAGAAAAAAATTAAGTTATTTCAAAAGTTGTAATTTCTAATCACAGAACTTTCATAAAGATCAATTATTAGTATTATAACAAAACTTGTATTTAATTCAAAAAATATCTTTTACGTAAAATAGAAACAGAAAAAGAATTTTATGACAAAAATTTCAATTTTACCTGTTTGTCTCTCTCTGCAGTGGCTTTACCAGACTCAAAATCCACTGTAGTTTTCGAAGTAAGATCAGGCTTCTCGCGTATTTTGTCCATGATAAATTCCATGACTTCCATAATAGCGTCTACGGTGCCCGTAATAAGGCATACTCTTTCGGTCGTACCTATAACAGAGGAAATGGAACGATGATCGACGAATTCCACGCAAGCGCATGTGCGCAAAAGCAAATACGTATACCTGGATAAAAATCATGTGATTTAGACATTTTTACTCTTGCTCCTGTATCCTTTTGAAGTTGAGCAATTGTGTCTCCACCTTTCCCAATAATAGCCCCAGCAGCCACGCCGGGGACCAATACCTTAAGGTGGTACGTTCCATCTCCTCCTGCAAAATTAAAGCAAATCATTTTTTTGATCATGTTCTATATGCAACGACATTATAATATATAATGTCAGAAATATATATGTGACAAGATATCCTAGAATTCACGCATGGATGTATCAACAGAAACAACTTTAATTCCTGTGATTACACTGCATTTAATGTAATAATTTTAAATAAAAATAATTCAAAACTAATAAATGAACATTCTAAATAAATTAGGAATAGTATCGCTATTTTACTTATCGCTATTTCTCTAAAGATTTCAAAACAAATAGACATTTATTTAAAATTTTTTTAAATTTAAATATTCACATTATTTTACATTACTTTAAATATTCGGATCATGAAAAAAATTTAATTAAAATAAAAATATTTTAATCATTGAAGTACTGATATTATTAATATTAAATAAAAGATAAATGGATTAAATAATACCTAAAAAAAAATTTTAATTTAAAATACATATATTTCGAGCAAACGTTTTAAAACATTTAATTAATGCTTTTCAAGATAACAAACATTTTTAAAACATTGCAACATCGTTTTAGATCAAAATTATTCACATATTATTATTTCACATATTATTATTATCTAATCTATTTCTTTTATTTTTAGTCATTGTTTCAATTATATTCGCTAAAATTAAAATTAACTATTACATACTTCTTGTGAGTATGTGTGTGCGCGCGCGCACGCGTACAAGAAATAGATTTATTTCTTTTTTAAGAGAAATACAAATTAAATTCGATAGAATCGAAAATAAAAAGTAAAATAAATGTAAAATAAAAAGAGATTATCTATCAAAAGTTCTATTTACATTTCATTGGCAAGTAAATATGAATTATTATATTATTACATTTATTTATAGAAATAGACATAATAATGATAATTTTCTCGAAAAAGAAACTATTAATTTTTTTATCTCTATTTTCATCCGTTCTCGAATATTACACACTGTCGTAACGCAAGAAATGTCACATCGCCTTGTTAGTCGAGCAAACAAATCTGACTCGTCAGCTGAAAGTGTCCGATCGAACCGAGATCAATCTCTCTTTGCTCCACAGAAATTGAAATTCCCGGCCCTGACGCTCTCGCGTATCGCGCGATCTTGATTCACATTCGCGAGCATGACCTCGATCAAAAGTGATCGAAGAAATCAAACTTGCGAAATCGAATAACGTCGATATTGGGTAATTTAATAATAGTATAAACAGGAAACAAAAAATGCCCAGTTACACGAAAATAAATTTGCTAGGTATTGATTCTGTATTCAGCAATGAATTAAGAAAATCGACATGTTAATTTTTTTATGTTTTACAATTTATTAATCATTTAGCTCCAAAAATAAAATTAACGAAAATTATAAAAAATAGCTATCATCTAATCAATTAAAAGAGATTAAATGTGGATAAGGCATATCGTGTGAGTACAACCAGTAATTTGATTAGTCAATTTTATGTCAGTTCGAAATCACCCGAAATCTTCCCACTTTTCTTTATTTTCTTAAATTTCTGTTGCATTTTTATTTTACTAGTTTTTTTCCTGTAATCTTATCTGTATATCTTGTATATCTTTTTCTTGTAAATTTGGTTAGAGAGAATCAGAATAATCATAGAGAGAAAAATAGATCGACCTTCGGTAACTAACTTTGCGATCGAGCCAAAAGAGACAACACAACGGGTTGCAAATTGAAGGCGACTAACTAAAACGAAAAGAGTCGATCGACGAAAAGAATCGACCTTCTCGGTGATCCATCTTGAAGAATTGTATCTTTAACTTACAACTAGGAAAAGAGAAACAATAAATGAATAGATTGGACTACTTAAAAAGAAAAAAAAAAGATAATTACGATCAAAACGGTGACTATTCCGTTGGATTTCAAGCGTATATTATAACAAAATGATCGACGTGGCCTAACCAAGGTACGGGAAGACGGTTTCGGATAACTACTCCGAAATACATAACTACTCCGTTTCTTTTTTTTCTTTGAACGAACAGCGTTGAACGGTAATCGAGATCGATACGATTTGAGCGAAAGGAACGACGTTCAGCGAGAAGTTAGACGTGCGAAAGGCAAACAGCTGTTTGACAGATGGAGGCCCTGCGCTGGCTCGCAACTCGGCTCGGTTCGACTCGGTCTCGCTCGCTCGCTCGTTAGCTGGCAGGCTAGCCCGGCGACCTTGACCCATCAACCTCCTCGCGGAGAGGCGGAGAGGCGCGAAGTGGGTGCGTGTGGGTATGCGTGACAAACTCACCGATGCGCCACATCCTAGTGGGCGCCGTCGTTCTGCGCGCGGATAGTAGTGGCGATGATGGTTTCTCGACGACGTCGACGACGACGACGTCGACGACGACGACGACGACGACGACGACGACGACGACGACGACGGTCGCGATTACAGCACCACGTTACAGATATGCGATACGGAACGGAGCGCGGAAATGCTGTGACAGGCGCGCGCGTATGATGCACAGCAATGACGATGATGACAGGAACGTAGCGGCGCGATAGGAACGTGCGCCGCTATTTCCACGATGCTTGCGTGACAAATTGCAGAGTCACCGTAGGAGCAGCCACCGCCGTGGAAGCGGTCCTCCATTAACGACGTTCCACAGGCACGACCGCCCACACGTAGTCGAAGGAGAGAGCGAGAACGAGAGCGAGAGCGAGGACGAGAGCGAGAGCGAGAGGACGAGACGGAAGAGAGAAAAGGAAAGAAAAAGAGAGATAGATACGGAGGAGGCATCGCATAGAAAAGAACGTCAAAATTTAAAACACTATTCACATTGACCGATTTGGATTTATTGTCCAACTTGGACGTATCCCACGCACGCGACTCCGTTAATCAGAGAAAATGAAATACAATGCCGATATAACTGGAATGAAAGGAAAGAGAGAGAGAGAGAGAGGAGGGGAGGGGGAGGGAGG